CATTCCTATTTCTATTTGAAGAGTTCTCACACACACACACATATATATATATATATGTCTATACTTTTTTTAAAAAAATTATATATTTAATATCAATTAAAATGTTTATATTTATATATTATTATTTTTTCTTTTTTTTCTAAAAAAAAGATATTGTGTAAAAGTTACATCAAAAGGTCTTAAAATTTTAATCGATAATTGTCCCAACCTTATTTCACTTAGTTTTATAAACTCTATAAGATTTGAAGTTGATTCACTTATCCCATTAGGACCTGATTTCAAAAATTTCGAAAAACTTTTTCTAAGTTATTGCAACATTTCAGATGGATTTATTGTTTCAATAGTTCCATTTTTAACAAAACTTCGTGTGTTGGATTTAGGTCATTGTCTGTTAAAACTTACAAGTGTTACGGTTGAAATGATTGTGACATCATGTCCAAATATTGAAGAACTTCGTATTTCAAAATTTAGAAAATTTAAAATGTATAGATTTATCAAGATGCAGGATGATAACAGATGAATTGGTTGAAGACTTGGTAAAACATTGCAGAAGATTAAAACAAATAGATATTTCTAATAATATTGGAGTTACAGGAAAAAGTTTTTTAATTGTAGCAGAAAATGAAAATATTGAATCTGCATCATTTGATGGTTGTTCAATGGTTAATGGTATATTACCCAAACATCCACCACCACCTGGTAATTCCAAAATGAAAAAATTATCATTTTCGTTCTGTGTAGATTTAAGTGAAATCACATTACAGCGTATTCCTAACTGGTTTAAAGGATTGGAATATTTGGCAATTAATAATGTATTAATTACATCTTGTGATTCGTTTTATAATCTATGTAATCAATTGAAACATTTAAAATACATTGATGTTCGAAATACAGTTTTCATGCATAATGACATTTGTCTAGAAGATTATCCATCAATAAAGATTGAAATATAAAAGATTAGCCAACTTTTATTATTATATATTCAGGTATCTACGATTCAAAGATTTCAGTATTAACACAGAAAATTTGTCGTGTTACTGTCTTTCTAAATTCTTTTTTTTTGTGTTAAGTTCTGTTTGGTTTTGGTGCGATCAACGTTTTCGTACGGCAAATATTCTGTTTATTGCAAGTGCCTTGCCATTGCCTGTTATTTGCAATGATATTGCAATGAGCTCCCCCAATTTTTTATTTATTCTAAAAAGGTTCATTATATAGTCGAATAAAAATTGTGTTGATTGTTGATCATCTATCGAATTGGGATGATTCGTAATAATAAATGAGATTATTTTGTTGTATATAAATTATTTATATTACTAATTTTTTTTTTTGTTAAAGAAATCGATCAAAACTTTTTAGGAATAGCTTATGTGATTTGGGTAGAATTAATTACTTTTTTTGCAATTATTATTTATTGTTAAATTTTTGAGGAATATATACTTGGAACAAAACAGACTAGGTAAAATTAAAAAAAATACGGGACTGATAAACCTGATTTGCATCGAAAAACATTTATACACAGCTACGCAACCTTTTTATTAGGTAAAATAAAAAAAATCCGAAAAACGGGGGTTTTTAAATTGTTTACGTAGTAGTAGTGTCCAACAGCTGCGCAACTAAAGTTATTAATTATTTAGCACAAGTAAGAAACGAAACATTTGCCGTGTCACGACCACCTTCCAAATCAGTAAGGCGAGTTACTTCTTAATTGATTGACAATTGAATTGTTTGTTTGTTTATTACTAAAATGCTTTGATCACGTCTATACATTTATTTTGCAAAGCTGGATTGCAAGCTTTGTAAATCTTGACTTTAACACTTAATTTGATCAACCCACCTATATAATTATTTAATAATTGATAAAGAGTTCATTAAATATAGTTTACAAACAGCCTCGTCATAGATCTTCACCAACACTTACTTTGATCAAACCCGTCTATATGATTATTTAATAATTGATAAAGCGTTCATTAAATATATTTTACAAATAGCTTCGTAGATCTCGACTTTAACACTTACTTCGATCAAACCCGCCTATATAATTATTGAATAATAAAACGTTCATTTTGGAAAACTTGATTTGCAAATAGGTCTTGACTTTAGCACTTATTTTGATCAAACCTGCCTATATTTGAATAATTGATAAAACATTCATTAAATATATTTTGTAAACAACTTGCCTTTAACAATTATTTCAATCACTCCTATACAAAATATTGAATAATTGACAAAACATTCATTTGCAAAACTTGACTTGCAAACTTCTTGAACTTGCATTTAACACTTGCTTTGATTGCGTCTACACAAACTATTGAATAATTGACAAACGTTCCATAATTTTTATTGTGTAATCCTACGTAATCTAAAAAAAAAAGAAAATAATTCAATAGAATAAAATTTGTCCAATGAAACTTGTACACAGTGTGTCTCAAAAAAAGGGGCGCGCACAATGTAAATCCATTTTTGAAAATTTTAACGAATAAAAATTTTTTCACATGATGAAAAATGATTGGATATCTCGCTTATATGATAAGCAACTCCTATATATATTAATATGTATTTATCACATTGTCTTTTCTTTATTTTTTGACGTGCAAACTTTGTAAAGATGGTTAATGCAAAATTAGAAGCACAACGTAAAACTATTTTACATTTTTGGATGAATGGTATCCATTTACCAAAAGAAATACATGAAAAATCAGAAATACTCCTTCGTACCATTCAGAAAAGTTAAAAGAAACAGGAACTATCGAACATAAAGGTGGCAATGGTCGTCCATCCAAGGTCTCACAAACATTTTCACGTTCTATTGGGCAAGTTATTTGCCACAATAATGCTGTTTCAACACGACAACTTGCAGTAAAACTTTGAGAATCACATAATGCATCAATTTCACATCACACTGTATGGAGACATAATTAAACACCAATATTAACAACCCGCCATATTGAAACAAGAATGGCATGGGCACAATTTCATATGAATGATGATTGGAATCGTACAATTTTTATCGATGAAACAGCTTTTGACTTGTTTCGTAATAAAATTCGCCAAAAGAGAGTCAAAGAGTAATGGCCTGGGGTGGCATTTCGTTAAAAGGCAAAACGTCATTATTTTGCTTTACTGATATTATGGATGGATCTTATTATGTTAACATATTGGAAACCCAGCTTTTACCTGCTGCGCAAAGATTATATGGTAGAAACTGGCGTTTACAACAGGATAATGATCCAAAACACACACCACGCGTTGCAAAACTTTTATTGATGAAAAAAGAATTAGTACAATAGACTGGCCATTCAATGGTCCTGACCTTAATCCCATTGAGAACATGTGGTATATCATGAAAAATAATATCGAAAAAAGAATGCTAAAGAATGTTGACGAATTGAAGAGATTTATGGTTGAGGAGTGGGAAAAAATTCCACAGGAAATAGTTAAAAATATTATTACGTCTATGAAACGGAGATATGAATTGTTATTAGAAAAAACGGAGATAGAATTTCTTATTAATTTTTATTTAATAAAGTATTCGATAGGTTTTTAAATGAACCTAATTTTATTTATCTTGCACCCTTTTTTTTGAGACACACTGTATATCCCATGTATAAATTGAAATATAAGGCTCATTTTTCCATTACTAGTACTTGTCTCGGGGTAAGACATGCAATGGCGAGCCCATGTGGCTCGCTTAAATGTGTTATTAAAGTCCAGCGAGTGAGAGAATGGAACTCTTGCTGATGGCTCATGCTAGGTGCATTGACAATTCGTGACGTACCTCTCTCTCTTTTGTTAATTTTTATTGTTTATTTTATTTAGAAGAAACATTTAAAAAAAAGATAAAATTCTTTAATTGATTTGATTGGTTAAATTTGTAATATATGAAATCCATCAATTATGAGAAGCATTATTATTATAGCAACAAGTAGCAACAACAATGAATCATCATTTTTTGAGGATGACAATAAAGATTAAGATCCGATTTTTGTTCCATGAAAATACTCAAGTTTTTCAAAAAAACGGCTGTCCTATTTATATGTTTTGGATTTACAAAATAGACTACTGTGTCTTGGCCCGAGTGATGTCATTTTTTTGCTCTTTGCGACGAAGAAGATGCCAACTTAAAATAAATGAATTTTTGTTCTCGCGTAACGCGGTGTGCATGTTTTGTAATACGAAAACCATAAGCTCGCATTGCGTGCTCAGTTGTGAGTTTGTTGAATATTATTATTAGATTTTATAATTATCAAACAGAAATCTATTTTTTTAAACAATAAACAATATCTTTTAAATTATGACTAAAATTTACGATTGATAATTTTTTTTTGATATAATGAGAAGTTATTATTAAAGTGTGAGTTCTTTGGTAAGCTGTTTGAACACGGCATCTGCAATGGAACGATAGGTGTGATCACCAAAGTTATAGATGATGATAATGTAGAAGTTACTTTTACAACTAATGGTAACATTATTAAAAATGAACGTCCAAAAAATTTTGAAATAAACGGCACACATGCCTCGAGGTTCCAATTCCCGTTGCAGAACGCGTTTGCCTTGACAACTCACAAGACCCAAGGCGTGACATTGCCACATGTAACTCTAATGATTGATGAAAATATGTTTGCTCCAGGTCGGGCCTACGTGGCGATGAGCAGAGCTTCTTCTCGGGACAGTTGGATATCCTTTCATTTGATTTTGATTTCCTGAAGGTGGATAAAGATGTGTGACTGAATACAGAAGATTAAATCTTTTACACTAAAACGGCCTAAAAAATATTATTAATTAATATTATTAGAATTAATTGATTTAAAAAAAAAATTTGATGTAACACGTGCTCACTAATTTTAATCTTTGTTTATTATATTTGAAGTGTTTTGAAATACCCCCTTTTTTTTAAATTTTTAAAAATTTCTCGCGTAAAAAAAAAGGATTTAACAGACTCTTAATCTTCTTTTTTCAACTCATTTTAACTCATTTACAAACAAATATCTATTATTACAAAAATGAATACTACTATTTTAACTTCGAAAGATTATGTAGCTGATAGTACTGATTTCCCGGTCTGGACTGGATTTCATCCTGGAAAAATAGCAGAAGCAGTAAATTCGGTACAAAAATTGGAAATTGATAATGTGTTTAATTCATATTCAGAACTTTGTCTTCAATATGATACGTTAAGAACTTATTATGGTGCTAATCAGAATCATTATAGCGAGTATGTTTATTTTTTTAAAAAAAAGCCCTATTATTTATTTATTCATTCATTCATTCATTCATTCATTCATTCATTTATTTATTACTATATTAGAAAATCACATTTTTTACCACCAAAATATAGCTTGAATTTTGACGAGTATACCAAAATTGATAAAAAATTTATAGATAAATATGGTGATGAATCTCGCAAATATCCAATCAGGAGAAAACAATTAGCACCTTTTTCAAATATTCCTCTTGAAGTATTCTTCCAAATTTGTGAAGATTTACCACCGTCTGATTTGTTGGCACTGGTACAAACATGCTCGAGATTTCATTTTATCTTAATGGATAAATGTGATGGAACCCAAAAAATTTGGAAAAAAGCAAGAATGGCTTATTTTAAAGGACTGCAACGACCACCACCACCAAGCTGGAATGAATTGCAATACATTAGATTCTTCCTTGCTTCACCTAGATCCTGCATGTTTTGTGGTATTATTAAATCGACTGAAATACATTGGCAGTTTCATGTAAGATGCTGCACTAGATGTTACTGTGCAAGAACCACTATAATTGAGTAAGTAATTATTATATAAAGTTTAATTGATTAAATAATCATATTTATTCATTTATTCATTTATTTATTTAACAATTTCAGAGAAAAGACTATTAGAGGCAATGATTTCTTTGCAGGATTACCTTATTCATTTCAGAAATATGGAATGAAGGTTACTGGACACAGGCCTCTCAAACAGTTCTGGGAAAAAGATATTGTTGAGAGACATTCCTATGTTGGAAAACATGGATTAAAACCTGTCAATACTTATGATGAGGAAAGTAAAAAAATGCTTGAGGTTCAAAAAAAATTCATGGAAGAATGTGATGATCGCAATAAAGAATGCAGTTTATATATGAAAAAATCAAAAAGATTTATCAAAAAAATCAACAAACTTGTTGGTAAAATTCTTGAGGAGGGGAAATTATCATTAAACTACAGATCTCGTTATATTCAAACTCATTTCACTTCGTATAAAAGAGCAATCTTCCATTTTGCTGAGGTTGATAAACAACCTTCAAAACAGTACTGGAAAAGATTAAAAAATCAAATAATTTACGAAGCAGAAAAGCCACATCGACAGGAACTTATCTTGAAATACTTGTTAAAAAAATGGCCTCGCCTTGGACCTAATAAACAAGTTGCCGAAACATTCCTTGAAGAGATAGATAACCCACTTAGATACTCTCAGGTTGATATATATACAATTCTTCAACATTGTCTTAGTTTTAAGGACCCACCAATATATCAAGGCGATGCCTATACTATTTATTCAGAGAGATATCTAGAAGAGCAAGTAGTACCAGTGCTAGTAAAAGAAGCCAAAAAACTCGATTCTTATTTCCCTGAAGGAAATATTATTACAGTAAAATCTGCAATTAATATGGGTATCAAAGCACCAATTTTTAGATGTATGTTGTTAGATTGCGAAGGAGAAAAACGTATTCATCTTTATTCACCAAAAAATATGGAGCACCATCTTAATACCAAACATAATTCATTTTTTGAACAAATTGTGGCAGAACACGACAAGGTCTGGGTATATTTAAAAAAAGATATGAATTTATTTGATGATGATAAATGCAAAGATCAAAAATCACAAGAAACATGTCAGAATGAACATAGATCTATTGAATGCAAAAGAAAACATGAAGAAATTAATAATGGTAATAAACATCAAGAAAAAAGACCTCAAACTAATAGTAATCAACTTCAAAAATCACAAGAAACATCCCATAATGAACATAGTAGATTTATTGAACACAAAAGAAAACATGAAGGAATTAATAATGGTAATAGACATCAAGGAAAAAGACCTCAAACTAATAATCAACTTCAAAAATCACAAGAAACATGCCAGAATGAACATAGATCTATTAAACGCAAAAGAAAACATGAAGGAATTAATAATGGTAATGAACATCAAGAAAAAAGACCTCGAACTAATAATCGATTTCAAAAATCACAAGAAGTCTACCAGAGTGAATGGAGATCTGTTAAATCTTATTATAAAAAAATTACTCGTGTGTAAAAAAAAATTAGTATTTTTATTATTATTACTTATTATAAAAAAATTAGTATTTTTATTATTATTACTTCTTATAAAAAAATTACTTATGTGTAAAAAAAAACTAGTATTTTTATTATTATTAGAACAAATAATGCACATATATATATATATATTAATTAAAATATAAATAAAAGATTAATTTTCCTTTTGCATCTTCATTACATGGTTTCAATTCCTTCAATTAATTGGTTTCTCTTGCTATATTTAAATTGTGCGAAAAAAGTAGTTTAGATTTGATTGTTTGTATTACAGCCGATTAAATCAAAAATTCATATACAGTCAAATCTCGATAAACCGAACTACCATAAACCGATTTTCGTTTTATAACGATGCAAAATTGGCTAACTAAATCATATTTAATAAAAATTATTTCGTTAAGCCGAATTTTATTATAATTTCTACTTTACTTGATAAACCGAACTTATTACTAAATTAGGCTTTCAACCCTTTACGCTGCCAGCCCTGTTTGTATCGTAAATCGAATTTTGATAAGCCGATCCTATTTTTGTGATTCCCAAAAGTTCGGCTTATCGAGGTTTGACTGTAAAACATTTTTTATAGATTATAAAATGATTGATGGACAGACAATGGTAAATTAATTGTTGATTAGTTATTTATCACTTCACATATCAAAATTTTATTAATATCACTGTTTCCGTTGAGAAATTTTGGACATTTTTTCAATTAAACCCCCCCCCATTTATTCAATCAGTAAAAACTTTTATGATAATAATAATACGCGTCGAATTTAGTGAAACAAGGTTTCCTTTTTTGAAATGAAAACAGGGTTACACGGAATTGAAATTTTAGATTTCCGTCATATGTTGGGATTTTTACATTGAAGTGTAAAATAATTATTAATATTAATTTCAACAATAAACTTCAAACGCGAAATAATAATAATTCTATTATAGTGCAAGTCACTTAGTCGCTGAACTTTTTATTGGCTGTGTAGATCCTTGTCCTCCAAAAATGGAAATGTATGACCAAAAAAACAAATTATAGAATTAAAGCTAAGACCTTTCCCTACAATCCAATGATTTCATTTCATTGATATGTAACGTTACCATAGAGGAACGATTGGGGTGTCCCACATCATATGATTTACAAACATAGTCGATCACATATATAAATTTTTATTAAGAAGGATTTTTCATTGATCTTTTTTTTAATAGTAAACTTTGAACGAAAATAACTCTTTAAAGAACAGAGGTACAGATTCCAAATTAAGTTTAAAATATATTAAAAGGATAGGGAAATGTCCTATAGAGAGTTTTTTTTGATTTAATATAAATCATATCACTTATTCTAAGCTAAAAGAAAAAAAGGAAAGTTATGTATATATGATACAAAATTTTATGCAAATAAAATTGTAAAAGGCTCTCTATACACCTAAACAGCATCAAAATGTGAATCCAAACCATGTCATTTTATTTAGATACGTCATATAGTTTAAGAGTTATTTCGATTTTGTAATCTTGCGAATATATTTTGAGTAAATTTTAGTGTTACACCTAAATTTTATAATTTTTATATAGTACTAGCCAAACAGACAATTTACAGCCGTTAAAAATATTATTATCAGTCAGGCGACATTTCACGCGATCGACATGTCTACTGTAATAACTATGGTGCAAGTCACCTAGTCCCGCAACTTGCTGCGCCTCGTGGCCAATTTTGGGAAAAATCATCAAAACTCAGAAA